CGAATATTTTTAGTCCCGGCGAAATCATAAATAGACGAACAGGTCAATTCTGACCTTTACGTAGATGCCGATAGTAAATATATCGGATATATATAGCGAAATATATACAATGTGTATATACAAAGGAAAGGAATGATAGATGGAATGCTTATATTTCAAGAATGGCTGGACCGATTTTGACAAATTTTGTCAATTCAGAATGCCCTCTTGACATAAAAGTGTGAAATCTAAGAAAATCGCATACAAATAAGTCAAAAATGATCTTAATATAGATTTTTTAGTATTTTGTGACATTTTTATTTTTTCATATTTTTGTCGCATGCGATTTTTTCAATTTGACTTATAATATTAAGGTGTAATATTTTTCCACCTTACAACACAGGTTTGGGATATTATATACAGATTGCAATTATCGTCCGATCCTCACGAAAAGGATAGGGTTAGGCTCAGAAGGGCTAGGCCTATTGTTTTCAAAGATGTCCGCAATATATTTAGGGGTTGAAATGGACCAACAACCAAAAATGTTCCAGATTTTGCAGCCGTTATAAAGGTCATAAATAGAAACCAAAGGACACGAAATCTCGCATGAAGTAAGAGTTTAGGACAGCGGGTATAATGGACCACTACTTTTGTCTGAAAAATACCAACATTACTCACAGGCGATAGCCGAAATACACAAAATGCGAACTTCTGCCTTTTTTGCTGATTTCGTTGACGAATATAGCCAAATATCGTAGACAAGAAGATCGTTTACAAGAGTCTAAATTTGGAGATACAGAGGGGCCTCTTGCTTTTGGAGATGATCGCAAAATACGACGGAGTGCGTAAATATTGGGCAAATGTCCCTGGTCAAAATGCTAAGGGTAATATCTGGGCAGTGCTCCGTCACATAATTTCAAAAGCGAAATCTTCCAAAATGAATTTGGACATAAGGGGGCTTCGAACATATTGTAGTGTTGTAGGGTATCACATGGTCGGCCCCGCACGACTATAGCCTTTGCTTACTTGTTTTAAAATGTTTTTTTAAAAATTCGTTATTATTGATCTTTACAAAAATTTTGTAATCATACATAATCCCGATTTTAGACCTTGACAAATTATTTAAGATTCCGCGAGTAGAATTATTTATTCAATTCTTCAAAAAATATTAAAAATTCCACGTTTATAGATCTGATAGTCATTCAGGAGGAATTATTTTTAAATGCACAACAATTGATCTTCAATTAAACAGCATTTAAACAGGTCATTTAAAAATCGATGTTAATAGACCCTCAACAAAATATTTAGAAATTAAAAAAAAATATTTTAAAATCCACAACTTCAGTCTTATTAACTTAAAATATTAAAAAATCCACGTTTATAGATCTGATAGTCGTTCTAGAAAAACTATTTATAAATTCACGATTATCGATCTTCAATAATTTTTCAAAAATCCCAAAATTATTGTTCTTGCAACAATATTCAAAAATCCATGTTTATGGTCCTTAAACCAATCATTTAAAATCAATGATGCTAGTCCTTCACAAAAATTATTTCAAAATAAATAATTATTTTAATTTATTAAAACAAATATTAATTTCACAAATCCACAATTATTGTCTTAAATACCATATTTAAAAATCAACGATTACAGTTCCGGAACAAATAATTTAAAAATCTAAAATTATGGTCCTTTCAAAAATTATTTTATTTTAATCAAAGATTTTTCACAAAATTTTCAAAACCAAAAAAATATTGTCCCTAAAATATTAAAAAAAATTAAGGACTATAGAACAAGAGATTTATTTCAAAAAAATATTTAAACATCAAGTATTACAGTTTTTTTTTTATAATTATTAAAAATCCCTGGTTGTCCTTTAAAAACAATGTCTTTAAATCCTTCATAAAAATATAGATCGCAATGTTCTTCAAAAATATGTATGATAAAACATATATGTTTTAGATCTACTAGCCATCTTCAAAAAATATCTAAAAATCCACGAATATAGTTCTTTGAAAAAATACTTAAAAATCCAAGATTATTGATCTTCGAAAATTGATCAAAAACCCCCAACAATCTTAAATCATCTTAAACAAAAATCCACGATAATCATCTCTAAAAATATTTTAAATCCACATTTGTATCCATTGGACAAATGATTTAAAATTCCACGATATAGTTTCAAAAATGACTCGAAAATCCAGCTTTGAAAACGGTCAAACAAATCTTTGAAAATCAAAATTTAGTTTTTCAAAAAATAAAAATTTCCTATTCCAAAATATTATTTGATAGTCCTTTAAAAAAAAATTATTCAAAAATCCACGTACACTGGTGGCCAAAACTAAAGCAACTAAAATCGCAAAGACAATAAATGTCCTGTAACTTTTACAAAAATAAAAAATCGTAACTATTTTTCCAGTTTTAAATGAGGTCTTTAATTCAATTTTAAGAAACTAAAAATAAATATACAAAAATAATTTTGAACGAAAAATAATATATGGAAAACTAAAATTACCCAATTTTTTGCTTGGTCAAAACTAAAGCAACTTTTTGATTTTTTATTTTAAAATAATTAAATTTTGGCTAACAGTCGATAGCATCCATTATTTTTGATAGCAGCTGCACACCTACGAGGCATTGAACCTATAACACGCTCAATTTGATCCTTGGGTATGCTTTTCCAGGCACCCCGAAAAATTTGTGCTTATTTATTTAGAAAATTTTGTGCTTATTTGTTTCCGAATCTCGCTTGATCTTCCTATCTACGATAATCCATAGGTTGTCTCTGGAGTTTAGGTCAGGTGATTGTGCCGGCCATGACAAAATATCGATTTTTGACTCCCGCAACAAATATTTGACATGTTTCGATGCAAGTTTGGGATCATTGTCATGCTGAAACACCCAAATGTGCCGAATATTTTACTCAGCGTAAGGGAACAACGTGATGTCCAACACATCTTTGTAAACAAACCGATCCATAACTTCCTTTCCTTCATGGATAGACCCAAGTCCATAGAAAGAAAAACAGCGCCACGCCATTTTTGACCCTCCCTCATGCTTCACTGTACCTTTGCAACACTGCGGCTTAAGTGCTTCATTTTTTGGTCTTCTCACCGCAACATTTTTCACGTCTGAGCCTTTAACATTAAACGTATACTCATCCAGAAATAATGTTTTTCCATTGAGCTTGATTCCACCTAATATTATCGTTTCCGAAAGCCTTTTTGATTTTTTCAGATATAAATGGCTTTTTTGATGTCTTACGGACATGCGGACCAGCTGCCATTACTCGTCTACGCACTGATCTCGAGCTTATATCCAATGATTGCTCTCTCACCAATCCAGTTGAACTCTTAAATGGTTGGTTTTTTATTTCTCTCACAATTTCTGGATCAGTACGGGTTGAAATTTTTCACGGCCTTCATCCGTTATAGACTGTTACTACTGATCCAGTTTCAAAAAACCGACTTAGTATACAGAAATAATTATGAAATCACATAAATATTTATGAAATATTTCTCGGAAATCATTTTCTGTGATATGTTGTTTTGATAGTCACTGATAATTTGCTGTTTTATTCAGGTACTGTATTTGCTTCTAGCCATTTTTAAAAATTTTTTGGGCGGTACTTAAAAAACGAAAAGAAAAACACATACTGTTGTAAAAAATTTCTCAAAAAGGATTTATGACAAGCGAAATTGTCGAAGGAAGCAAAAAGCGATAAATATAACAGTAAAAACAACTGAAATTGCAGCAGTTATATGAATGTACAACAGAGTTGCTTTAGTTTTGTCCAAGCCAAAATCGGGGTAATTGACTTTAGCATACATTATTTTTTATATAAAAAGGAATTTTGGTTTTTTGTTTCAGGTTTTTAAAAAGTGAATAAGGTACCTAATTTAAAACAAGAAAAACTTTGTCATTTCCTTACTTTTTAAAGAAGTTACAGGGCATTCATTCTCCTTGTAATTTCAGTTGCTTTAGTTTTGGCCACCAGTGTATATAGATCAGATAGTCCTACAAAAAATTATTTAAAAATCGTGATTGTTGTTGTTTTTAAAATTTTGGAGATTTTTATGATCGTAGATTGTTATTAATAATATTTTGACGCGAATTCTGTCAATTCTTTCAAAATTCCTTAAAATATCCGCCAGAAACCCTATATAAGCATTAATTAATATTAATGTTCTTCTCTCCATTAAAATTTGACACAATCTTTGGAGTTATGACTAGAATGAGTGGTCTAGAAAATAGTCGAAAATTTTCAACCATCTAATCTTCCTAAAATCGGCCATACAGTTTCCCAGAAAATAAAAACCCTTCATGTCGCCGATTTTTAAAACAGTTCCCCTTCCTGGTATATTTGGATTTTCGGTATTTTTCAAGTTTTGAATATTACAATAACACAATTATTGGTATTTTGAAGATAGTATTCCCTGAATTTGGCAAAATGAGCTATAATTTGGTATTTGGGCAAAATAAAAAAAAACATTTCATAACAGTATTTATTATTAGCTCGAATTTTGACATATTGCTCATGAAACACTGAATAATGTAAATTTGGAGTGCCTAAAAAAGCTAATCAGTCTCTGAAAACTAAAGTTTTTGCACCATAGGAGGTGTGTGAGGACTGATTATTTAAAAAATATATATTTTTTTTTTGGACCTGGCTATATTTTCCCTATTGAAATATTTTCTAATTTCTTTTTAATAACGAATATATTTTTTATAAAAAAAAAAATCATTATACGCAGTAAGGCAAGCTATGATATATGGCTTAAATTGGGCAATAATTTTGCCAAATATAATTTTATTCACTATTGATCATTAAATCAATTTTGTGATTTTTAAATACAATTTTTTACAAATGTTAAAAATACTTTTTTAAGTAAACAAAAACCCTTTTCCTCTTTGGACTTGTTATTTCACATTCCATTGCATTTTTAATTAAGATAATAAACACAAAACTATTCCAATTTAAAAATTCTCCTTAATGACATATTTTTGTATTTTTTTGCAGGATCTTTACTACATCGCCTTTGGCTACCCCGAAAAGGAATTAAATAATGACATCGCTTTGGTGACTGGTGGCGGCAGTGGTTTGGGCCGTTTGCTGTCGATGCGTTTGGGCAAAATGGGCACCAAAGTCATCGTTTGGGATATCAATAAACAAGGTAAGTATGAGAAAAACATACAACTTTTTTTTGTAGGAGGCACAAATTTCGTATTTTGAAGTCAATATATATGTTAAAGAAGAAAAATTAAATTTTTCATGGTGATAAGTGAGATGGAAACACTATAAGAGTAAAATTGAATATAATCTAATCAGTATAAATTTCATGAAATCCATTTTTATCATTTTGAAAATATGGCTATGTTTCACAGTAATCTTAATGCCGAAATACACAATTCTACCTCCTTTTACACTCAATATACTAAAATAAATATCTATGTATCTAAATCCAAGAAACCAACAGTGACCTCAAATAATATCAAATTTCAGGATTCAAGCTCTATTCAAGGGCAAATCTAGAAGCATATAGTAGTTTTCGCATAATAATATTCGCGTTGTCAAATCCACCTCCATCTCTCAAAACTAAATACCAAACATGGCCTCCATATCAAATTTAAGAAATCCAGTTCTATCCTAAGACCCAATCCCAAATTTATTACCATACTTTTCGGACATTTATTCTACGCATGTTCAAAACCACATACTTTTCTCCACTCTACTAAATTTCAGATTTCCATTTCTATTCCAAAACTCAACAGCAAATTGTATGACATTTTGTATTTTTCCAAAACAGACACTAACAGTGGCATTAATATCAAATTTCAGGATATCTTTTTTATTCCTTCATCTAATACCAATAACGTAACATTTAGTTCATTTCATACAAATAATGTAAGCATTTTCAAAACAATCTCCATATCGTAACCTCAGATCCTAACATTGACCTTAATATCAAAATTCAGGATTTCAGCTCTGTAATTTTCCCCCATAACCAAATATACTACTATTTAGTACAATATTAGTACACACACACACACCTACAGTGACATCCATATCCAATTTCAGGATTCCAGGTCTATCCCTTCACCCAACACCGAATTTAGTACCATTTAGTACTTTTCGAACAATTATAGTACTTATTTTCAAACTTATCTCCGTATCTCATTCTCAGATACCAACAGTGAATCTCAATATCAACTTTTATGATTTCAGGTCTTCTTTCCTCAATACTTTTTTCCTCATTACTTAATTTAATACCATTTACTACAGATACAGTATCAGTTCCTTCTTATAACCTCACCAAATTTCTGGATTTCACCTCTATTCCTTCACCCAATGCTTTTCAAACAATTATAGTACCCATTTTCAAACCAATTACCATATCTAAATCTTAGATACCAATAGAGACCTCAATATCAAATTTGAGGATTCTAGCTCTATCCCTTCACCCAATTTAGTTTCATTTAGCAATTTTCGTACAAATATAGGACACATTTACAAAACACCGCCAAATTTGAAACACACATAACATTAGTAATATAAATATCAAATTTCAGAATTTTATTTCTATTCCTATTCACCCAATACAAAATGTAGTACCATTCAGTAATGGTATCAAATATAGTACTATTTAGTACTTTTCGTGCATGTGTAGTATCCATTTCCAAAACCACCTCCATATCTTAACCGCAGACAACAAGAGTGACATCTACATCGAATTTTAGTATTTCTAATCTCTTTCTCCAAGCAATTCCAAATTTAGTACATTTCGTACAACTTTAGTACATTTTTTATAATCCACCTCCATATTGCATTCAAGATACCCACAGAGACCTTAACAACAAATTTCAGAATTTTATCTCTCTTCTTTCATCAAATACCAAAAATAGTACCATTCAGTACTTTTCGAAGATTTACAGTACACATTTCCGTACTTCATATGTCCAGACTGCACATGAACAGCGAACCTAATACCACATTTCAGATTTCAAGCACCATAGTACCAAATATAGTGATTTTCAATACCTTTAGTGCATCTATAGTTCGAATTTCATCAGGGACCCTTATTTCTGCCCTACACCCCGTCAGCGACCCTCATTTCAAATTTTAGATTTCTAGTTCTAACCGTTGGATCAATGCAATGGATTGAATTCTTGATACCTTTTAGTACTTTTTGTACACTTTTTTTTATTTCACCTCTACGTACCAAGATTAACCTACATGAAAAAATATCAAGATTCTACCTTAAGCAGAAACCTGGACATTTATTAATATTTTACTAACCGAACTTCAAATGCCAAATTTCAAAAAAATAATTAATGTCCAAACGAATAAAGGTAGGAATATAAAATTTTGTCAAGTTCAAAGATGGGCTATATCGATCCACGATATCGTATAGCCCCCATATATCGGTATCCCCCCATTTTCGGTATTTTGATGATTGTAACAAATTTTTCAACGAAGTTGCCTGAAATCCACAAATGGAGACTTTACCCCCTGGATTGTCTACATAGGTCCACGATATCGTATATCCTTCATATAACTGTACCTCCCTATATTCAGTATTTTTATGATTTTAGCTACATTTGTCAATGGGATTTTCTAAAAATCCATACTAGAAGTTCTTTCTAAACACTTTACCTCCTGGAAGAGAAATGTCTATATAGATCATCGATATCGTATAGCCTTCATACAGCAGTACCCCTGATATGTGATGTTTTGACGATTTTGGAGACATTATCTACCGGAGATGTTTCAAATTTCGCATTTAAAATTCGTAATGGGTACTACAACCTATGGCAAAAAAGGTCCACGTCTTCGTATAGCCTCCATATAATGGTACCCGACGATTTTCGATATTTTGACGATTAAAAAGATAAAGTTCGTAATAGGAACTACAGTCTATGACAGAAATTGTTTATGCAGGTCCAGGTCTTCGTATAGGTCCCATGTATCAGTACCTCTCTATATTCGGTATTTTGACGATTTTGGGTAAAATATTCATCGAAATTGTCGTATTTGAAGTTCTTAAAAGATACTAAAACTTGTGACAGAAAATTTTCTATGCAGGTTTAAGTCTTCATATAGCCCCCTTGGCACCTCACCCCCATGCGGTATTTTGTTATTGTAATGGCCTATGACAACAGTTGTCTATGCATATCCACGCCTTCGTATAGACTCGGCTATATTCGTTATTTTTAAGACATTAACAGAATTGTTAATGGATTTTATTTTATTTTTTTTTCAAAATTTCCAAATTCGTTCCAAATGGTGGAGGGTATTGATTTACTTATATATACTATATAAGTAGTATACTATTTACTATAAGGGATACAAAAATTGCAGTAAGATATAGTGAACACTCAAAATGTTGACTTTTTGTGGGGGAGGTGCCATAAGGACAACAAAAGTTGTCTATGCAGGTCCACGCCTTCGTATACCAATTTATTAACATTTAGTTCTTTTCATATAAATTTTCATTTATATGAAAAGAATCTCCATATCATAACCTCAGATACTAACAGTGACCATAATATCAAAATTCAGGATTTTAGCTCTGTAATTTCCCCCCATTACCAAATATACAACCATTTAGTACAATTATAGTACGCAGACGCCAATAGTGGCATCCATTTCCAATTTCAGGATTCCAGGTCTATAAATTCACCCAATACCGAATTTAGTACCATTTAGTACTTTTCTAACAATTATAGTACTTATTTTCAAACCTATCTCCATATCTCATTCTTAGATACCAACAGGTCCACGCCTTCGTATACACCCAGCCAGATTCGGTATTTTTAAGACTTTAACAGAATTTTTAATGGATTTTATTTTTTTTTTTTTTCAAAATTTCCAAATTTGTTCCAAATGCTGGAGGGTATTTAACGTTCGACCCGCCTGAAAAACACACAGCAATAAGGTTTTACAAGTGTTTTTTTTTTTTTTTTTTTTTTTGAAAAAAGTACCTTTTATTGCCATATTCCAGTTCTTTTAATTTTTGATATTTCTCCATTGTTTAATGTCACCTAATATAGCTATAAATAAGCATGTAATTTTTTAACCCATTTTTTTTCATTTCTTTCTAGGCATTGATGAGACCGTCAAAATGGTACAAGAAGCTGGTGGCTACTGTAAAGGTTATGTTGTCGACATTTCCCGCAAAGAAGAAGTCTACAAAGCAGCGGAAGTCTTGAGACATGAAGTTGGTGATGTAAGTACACTCATATGTAACAATAATAATAATAAGTAGTCACATTTGTATGTATGTTTGTATGTCAGCATATATACATAGCTCCAATGACGATGGCAATGTTAACCTTCTTAAGAAATAACATAAGTGCTCTTATTATTTATAAAAAAATAATAGTTTTTTTTTCTGTGGGGTCTTTCCTCATACTCCACAAAGGCAAACATCTATATAATAATAAATGTAATAAAAATGTATGAATAAGTGGTTCGTAACAACAACAACAACAACAAAAACAACAATTCCATAATTTTATATCATGTTACACATGACTTGATTTATAATCACAGTTACTGCCACTGGGTTATTACCGGGTAATAAGTTTCCCTATCGTTGAGATGTGATGTGGGCTGAGGCAACAACAACAACAACAACTGAAATTATTTTAAAATTAATGTAAAGCCATTTGTAACAGCAACAGCTGTTTGTGAGTGTGTGTGTGTGTGTTTGCATTTAGCATGAGTGGCATGACAGCATGAAAAATGTCAAAGTCAGCATGATATGTAGCAGACGATGGTAGGAAAAAAATGAACAAAACAAAAAAATGTTGAGCAGCAGCAGGCAGATAGGTCTTTATTTTGTAAATATTAATTTTCACCATAATAATGAAAAAAATCTGAAATTAATTTATCCCAACACGCAAGCTTTAAGACTTAGGATTAAATACTACCTAAAGTTCCAAATCATATGGAGTCTTCTCTTATACTAGTTTCCTGCTTGTAGCCAGACCTTGACCTACTTTTCAACTTCTGATTGGTACTCTATATTTTCTCTTCTTCATTCTCCATGGGAAAAGAAAATTAATGGCTTTTTAATTCAATTATTAAGCATATTTTTCAAATGTAATTATTTAGTTATACCCTACAACGTTAGTGTTGGGGTTTTATAAGTTTGATTGAGCCAAAAATTATGTAACTCCTCGAAATATTGGTTCCCACATAGGAAAGTATATATGGATCTTCCTATCTCGCCGAGCTGAGTCGATCTAGCTATGTATGTCCGTCCGTCTGTATGACAGGTCGCAATTATGGCCCGATCTTCATGAAATTTAGAATGGAGGTGGGGCTAGGGCCAGAGTAGAAGCCTATTGCTTTTGGAGATGATCGCATAATATTAAGGGGTTGAAATGGACCAAAAACTGAAAAATGTCCTTGATTTTCAGTTGCTCTACAGGTCGCAATTATAGACCAATCGAAGCGGAAGTTAGCATGGGGCTAGGCTTAGGGCTGGGCAGAAGCCTTCCAATTTTGATGGTTATCGGGTAATATTTTGTGGGTGAAATAGACCATAATATTTGTGTTCAATAAGAAACAAATTTTCGTTAAACTGCGAACATTTTTAATCCCGGCGAATTCACAAACAGGACAATTCTGACCATTACGTAGATGCTGGTAGTAAATGCATCAGATATATATATATATATATATATATATATATATATATATATATATATATATATATATATATATATATATATATATATATATATATACAAAGGAAGGGGATGTTAGCTAGAATGATTACAAGAATGGCTGGACTGATTTTGACATATTTTGGCAATTCAGAATGCCCTCTTGGCATAAAAGCATAAAATCTAAAAAATCGCATAAAATATATATATAATCGAATAATGATCTTTATATAGATTTTGTAGTATTTTGTAACATTTTTTTATTTTTTCACATTTTTTATCACATGCGATATCTTCAATTTAACTTATAATATTGAAGTATACATGGTCGGCCCTGCATTACTATAGCCTTTGCTTATTTGTTTTTATATGCCTACTGTAATGGAATGTAACTCAATATTTAATTAGGGAATTGTATTTATATTATTTTTTTTTTTTTTGCCTCCTCTTTCCCAGCAAAATGGGTCTTATTAAATAAAACAGCTCATTACCCAGAAAATATACTAATTTAACAAAAATCTTGATAAAGACAACCCGCAATGGAATGTAGAGACATGTCGTGCAAGGCATGTTACCAAAGGAAACAAAAGACTTAAGACACAAACCCTGTTGAGGAAACAACACAACATTTTAAAGAGAGAACTGCAACAAAAGGCAGCATAATGAACGGCAAGACACTGTGATACTAGATTTTACTACATCACAGGGGTAGAGAAGATGCGGTTGAACACTTGATATAGTAGGCCCAATTTTTCCCACGCAGTACCCTAAATTGTGAATAATCATACATTTCTAAGGTGTGGATCGAGCATTTCCTTCGCTGGAATAGAATCATGATATCGATAGTGATCAACAAATGTTGCAGGGCGGTTAGTTTCGTTTTGTAAAATATTGCTCTCTTAATTAGAAATTAATATGTAGTTTAGCCGTTGGGCGAACGCTCCAGACTTAAGTAATTATCTGATCTTCAGCAATAACAAGACAAATATTTATATTAAATAATTTGAAATTGAAAATTTTGAAATCTGAATTTCCAAAATCAAGTCTTGTTTTCAATCCTACATACCAAAATAATTTTTTTTATACCCTGAAAATCGAATTTCCGGATTTTATTGCCGACTTTTCGAACGGATCTACCCACAGTGAGCTTTCAGAGTTTCGACTAGACTTTCAACTACAATTTTCCAATGAATTACATTTTCATTTCGTATTTTTATGCTATGTTTATACCCTCCGCTATATAGCTTGAGTATACCCTCTCATTTGATACGTCCAAAAGTGTCTCATGAAAATAACGGTTTTAGACCGCTTTGGACAAAATTCAGGACATTTGTAGTCAAGCTAACGATATCCGCCCGTCCGTCTGTCTATCTAGCTGGCTGGATGGTGCGCACGACAACTCTCGAAGGTAGTATGCTGTTTGGTCCAAACTTGATACCTCGTAATATTGTTATCAAACTTAGATCGAGTTCGAAGATGGGCAATATCGGTCCACTCCTTCTCGCACCTACCCCACAAAATGCCACATTTTCGAAAAATGTTCTGCATATATAGGGTAACGATACTCCCATTTTGCTCCAACTTTGCAAATCCTAGTATTTGCATCAGTGCTAGGTCAAGTGGGAAAATGGACAATATCGGTCCACTCCATCAAGTACCTCCTTTATATAGGGTAAAAATTTTGAATAATTGTGACTCTTATAAAATGTAATGTAAGAGTCTGATTCTCTTTAATTTTCGCACATCACAATATTTTTATTGACCCAAGGTCTGGTGTATAGATGGAATATATCGGTCCACTCCTCCTGGTACCTCTCCCACAAAAGGGTCAATATTATAAATATCTATGAAGTTCATAAAACGTGAAATTAACATCCAATTCCATTCAGACTTGGCACATCTCAAATATCCATCAGCACAAGTTATAAAGGTGGTAGAAAACGGACCATTCCTTCTGGTACCTCCCCCACAAAGGATCAAAGTTTTGAATAACAAAAACTATCACAAAATTCGAAATAAGCATCCGGTTCTCTTCATATTTCACACATACCATTATTTCTACCAACACAAGATTTGCTGTGAAAATGGAATATATCGGTCCATCGCTTCTGGTACCTCCCCTACAAAGGCTCAAAATTTTGAATATCCATGAAGCTCAAAAAACGCGAAATTAACATCCAATACCATTCAGACTTGGTACATCTCAATTTTTCCATCAACACTTGATCTCTTATAAATATGGTAGAGATCGGACCATTTCTTGTGGTACCTCCCCCACAAAGGATCAAAGTTTTAAATAACCATAACGATCATACATTTCGAATCAAGCATCCAGTTCTCTTCATATTTCACACATGTCATTATATTTACCAACACAAGATCAGCTGTGAAGATGGGGTATATCGGTCCATCCCTCCTCCCCCACAACGGGTCAAAATTTTGAATATCCATGAAGCTCATAAAACGCGAAATTAACATCCAATACCATTCAGACTTGGTACATCTCAATATTTCCACCAACACTTGATCTCTTATAAAGATGGTAGAGATCGGACCATTTCTTGTGGTACCTCCCCCGCATAGGGTTCAAGATTTTGATAAACAAAACGCTAGAAGATAGCGAAATAAGCATCCAATTATTTTTCAATTTCACACACCCAAATATTTTTGCTAACACAAGATCTGTTGTGAAGATGATATACATCTGCCAACCACTTCTAGCACCTCACCCACAAAGGGTCACAATTTCTAATACTTATATGTGTTATAATTTGTGAAACAAGTCGGCCATTCTTTACAACTTGTTATATCTAAATATTTCTCGTAACAAGAAACCTGTGATGAATATGGAATTTTTTGGCATAAAATTGGTTATAAATGTTCGATTGTCTTGTAATTTTGCCCATACCAATATTTTTATCTTTATTAGATGAAGTATGGAAAGTATTCGGTCGACTATATCTGGTAACTCACGCACATTTTCTAAGAATTATTACATATCTCACAATTATCACATGTCTCTTTTGTTTTATATGGGAGGGCTCTCGAGTCACTCCAAAATTAGAGTGGAAGTTGAAACGCCCAGTAAAGAGAGCAAGAGTTCACTCTGAGAAGGATATGGAGTGGACAATTTTTTTCTGTAAGCGAGTGTGAGGGTGTGAGTAAAGGCAAAAAGGTTTTGATACTACTGTAGAGCAGGGCTGGCTTAAATTGTGTCGCAGACACTAACATCGAGAGAGTAACTCTCCATCTCTCGGTAAATATTGTGTGTGCTAATTCTTTGCGAAATTGAAAATTATTAAATCAAACGACCGAACTTCCTACGTCATTGAAAGCTGAAAAACTTCTGTATGTAAAACAAATTTGTTGTTGGTAGGCAAGCGAACAGTTCTGGTGGTGAGTTTATTGATCCATGGTAAGAGTTATGCTCAAAACTATGATTGTGTGTAAGGTGTGATGAATTTCCCATAGGCGGTGTGTTGGTGAACGCTGCTCTAGATTAGGGAGTGGGGCGATCGTGTTCAAATGTTACAAAAAGAAAAACAACAAAAGC